GCTGACAATGATGATGATGGTCCCATGGTCCACTGGTAGAGAAACGACGGGTAGCGCGACTGTGCCTACCATACCCACGAGCAGTGTTAGCCACGGTCAGCATGAAACTGTAAAAGGCATCCACTATTCGTTTTAAGTCGAGTCCACGCTCCAGTGGCCACAAGGTTGTGTCCCCGATGGACTGCAAATTCGTTCTTGCAAGAGGCCAAATCCTGACGATCAGACCCTGATATGGTGTACCGTCATCATTAGAGACAACATGCGTTGATACTGATGCTTCACTGTCGTACAACCCCAAATTTTGTTTCGTTATATTAAGAGTGAGGGAGGACCTGGTGCTAACCTACCGCAAATTATTCCGGCGTCTACATCTCCACGTCCCATCAGACAATCCAAAAAAAGTGGCAGCACATCATCATTGACAGCAATACACCAGTAGTGCACACTGGTGCCTAACTGACAGCACGAACGCCAACGACACATTATCCGCCATTTCTCGCAGTGTCCGCCAAATGTAGAGGGAGGAGTCAAAGGGATCCCATCCAATACTTAAAATCTTTGTGATATATTGACACCCTTCTGCCAAGTCCAGATTTGGTGTATCGCTTACAAAACCAGAGCTTTTGTTGACTGGTCCATAGATAGTAGTGATCGCGTAATTTAATTAGTGTAGGCTCCTACGAAGGCTCAAGAATGGCACGAAGACTGCCGCTTTCGAGTATTTCATCGAGTAAGGAAGACTTAACTCGGGAAATAAAAGCTACACTAAATCCGCCATAGTAGCTTGACACAGTGAAGAACGCTTAGAGAGCGGTCGAAGTCGTCAGTAGTCAGTTTTTCAGGAGCAGCATCGACATACCCATAGATGACACCCAGAATGAAAGTTAGGCAGGACAAGTATGAATAATGGAGATGGGCGCCTCTGTCAGTTTGTTTTGCTCACCCGCCTGAGTGATCGTAACCCACAGTTGCCTCGGTTCCACGGGATTACCTGTTTGTGCAGCTCGTGATTGCGCGTAAGCTGATATACTAGCAAGCATGGACAGAAAGATTGGGCCCTCAAAAGTCTGGCCACAATGAAGCGAAAACTGTCGAGAGGCTGCTGGGTATTCCAACTTTAAGGAATAAAGCGGAGGAGCATCGCTCAGTTGTAGCACCCTTTCGGTGCCTAGCTGCTATGCCACACGAAAGTTGCACGAGGGCCGGAATACTACCAGGTTGTCCAAGCATAGACAGGGGGAGTCGAAAGGCAGGTCGGGTTCGAACCACGGACCTTCCGGTCAGTCAGTTCGCGCTATAACCACATGGTCCATCTTGCCCCCATGGGGGAGACAGTTGGCTGCGTTGGCTAGATTTTTACCAAATAAGATCCAAGACTGAAACACGAACAACGGTAGTGAAGCGTGTCGAAACAGTGGTTGTCTAAAATGATCGCTACACAGAAAACCCCAGTATAGTTAGATGCGTAGCGTCATCGCACAACCGACCACACTGTCGTTAGACAGACTCTTTGCGAGACTAAGTAGGTAACGTTGGCATCGCTCCAGCACATTATTCATCGAACCCTCATCGATTCACGTTAGGACATCCATCGGTTACACTATACCGCCCAACTAATTCGTGACTGTCCATGTACTACACATTGCTATTCCACACCGAGATTTAATTAGGAATAGTGATGTGTGTGTATCACTGTTTAGCACTTGCAGAATAACCTGACCGAAGTGTAAAGGGTTGATTATGGAAACCAATGCCTCTTACTACAAAACTACAACTCTCGTCGGTGATCGCAAGCACAAGCCTCCTACAATGAGTGGTTTGTCCTGCAGATAAAGCTCCAGAAGTAATGCATTGAGAAACGCAATGTCAGGGTGTGTTCACCCAGAACTATTCCCCAGAGGATGCGCATCCCGAAAATGCTACAATATGAACAGTGGGATAAGCGTTTAGCGCTGAGTACTAGGAAGACCCGTGAGTGCGACCCCCGGTATTTGGTTGGGGAGAGAAGCCAAGGGACGTCTGGTGGCTGGCCTATCAAGACACTAGTGACCAAATTTAACGGGCTGAAAAGATTGTTGGGAAGACAAACGTGCCTTCTCGAGTATGAAAACCGAGGGAAATACCCGATGAGCTTAAATATTGGTAATACAGCCACAGGTAAGCAGGTGAGCGTAGGACCTATGGCTGACAGCCGAAAAATCAGGAAGATTATCGCAAACTAGTAACACAAGGTCCAGTTCGCACATCAAATTGGACAGGAGAAACTGGAAGTAGCACTCGACCACCAATCGCACAAAAATTTCGAACATACCGCAGCTGGCAGATTTTGTACAACAAACTGACTAGTCTGTTCTGGGAAGCCAATTCCTCGTTTGTTCCTTTCGGCATGTCATGCAAATCGGAGAAGTGGGGGCCTAGAAACGGTCCGGTTACCTAAAACCCAACGGGCAACTGTTCAGCCGTAAGACACTTATGGTACCTAACTATCAAGCCATTCGAAAGAAACCCGAGTGCTGAGATGCCACCAAGTTACCCAAACCGAAACAGAAACAGTCGACATCCCGAGGCCCGTAAGTTCCGCCGCAACCAGTAAGTCAACGTAGTCAAGAGCTCAGCGCCGACACCACCGAGCTATTGGTAATCCTTCTGGCTGCTGTCATCTTTTCCACACAACATTGTACGACCGAGAGGTAGCAAGTGTCTCAAATGAAAAGGGTGATTTTCGCGACGCTATGTTCACAATTCAAAGTACGCATAAAGTTCGAGATAGCTCAACATGGACCTACTGACCGGACGGTCCGTGGTTCGAACTCAACCTCGGCGCATCTACCCCTGTCTAGGGTTGGGAAAGGGGCGAGATGGCTCAAGTGGTTAGGGCGACAACTTACTGACCAAAAGGTCCATGGTTCGAAACCGATCTCTGCATCTCGACCTCCCCTGTCTAGGCTTGGGCAACCTGGCAGTATCCCAGCCCTTGTGCTTCCGTGTGGCATGGCAGCTAGGCACCGGAAGGGTGCTACAACTGAACGATTTTGTGATTTTTTTATTAGGGTTGGGAGACCAGGCGGCACCTCAGCCATGTGTTTCCTTCACATGACCTGGTAGCTAGGTGTTGAAATGGTGTTGCGGCCGAACTACCATTTTCTAGCCCAAACTAATTCAGCTCCTTTCTTTTCATCTTCGGTGCCAGGTAGCTGGAATATGTGAGTGATTAGCAATAGTACAATACACATGACCGCAAGGTAAGGGGACCACTGGATTGAGTTACCACGAATTATGAAGCAATATTGGCCACACTGATTTGAACGTTTTAAGTCACTTTTTGCGACTGGAAACCGAAGTCATCTCTTGGGAGTGTGCACAGACCTCATTGGCTTCGACGGAGCTATATAAACTAACTTGAGCGTTATGCAAATCCAAGCAGGTTGTAACATGGCAGTTGACTACGTTGTTAGAATTGTATTAAACACAGATGATCCACTCGAATCGCCAAGCGGGACCGTCCCCACTGACCGGTAGCTTAGAACGTGAACAAAGATACGCCAGTGAAGAAAGTTGCAAAATCCGAAGGGTTATGGACCCAGTGTACCAAGATTATCCACAGAAGAAGCCGAACGCAACAGGCAGACGGCCGACGCAATAACGATTCGGATAAACGGCGATCACGAGATTTGGTAAAGGTTGCTGCGATTCACTAGTAAGGAAGATTGGACCAATGACCCCGTTGGCCTCCAAAAAACGATATAACGAAAACTCTATATTAATTGTAAATGAGCGTCCGACAGCGTAAACCGGCGGTCGCTGCAGTGAAATGAAGACTGCACGACTCTAAACGAACATGAACCCCAAAATAAGTCACTTTCAAAGGGCCTAAACGGATAGTCATCTCTCGACTTACAAAAAGTCCCACAAGGATATCCATATCATTCGCAACACAAGTGCTGAGTGTAAGGCCAGTCTTTACTCACGATAACTCCACTTCATCCGTGCTTCACTGTGTACTGGGACTTAACTACGGAGATACGCTCCATTCTAACTGTTAACAGATGTGATACAGCAAAGGTTCACACTTGTCCACGATAGTCGTATGAACCCGTGAGCGTTTATATGAATAGCGATCGTCGTAGTACTGTTCACGCGCTTTCGTGTACCAATCAACCGATGATGAATATGGATTCACCTCTATTCAGTCAACCTATCTAGTTTATCAGCTATAAACCGTGTACCACAGGCACACTACACAACAGTGACAGCTCTAATGCATGAGCGCCACTGACTGCGCGATCGGGCCACTTCTGCCAGGTACATTAACCAGTGTTGACTCAAGTCTCGGGGTCCCCATCCCGGGATGCTGCAGTCACGTCGGAGCCATAGATATAAGAGCTCGGAAAAAGCTGTCCTGAATTCCCGATACGAGTAATTTCACCTCTAGCCAATCCACGAGAACTCTACATTTTGCAGGTTTGAAGCGCATGCCAAACCGTGCGGCAGAACTAGTCAAGTTATTTAACGATTTGCATTTTGGAAGGATATGAACCAAGGAGAGCAATACTGTCCACGTACTCAGTTTGAGAGAACGTCCCGGGAGCGTTTCGACTCCCAACGAATCCTTCCCCGTTGAGGGAGTACAGTAGAGTAAACATTACACAATTCCCAAGGCCCTAAAACGAGGACATCCGGACAGAACCAGATTCGGTCCAACGTGGTCCACTAGCAGCAATTCCATGCATTACAGAACAGCGTTTGCCTGCGACTATGGGCCTCTTAATACGGCACCGACCCGAGGCACGGCGTGCCTAGGGGATGGCAAAACCACCCAGCAACGATTGGAAAGACGTCTGCCGTTCACCATTCACACAATGGTAAATACCCGATGGTACTAGACTCATAAGGCACGCTGTTGAACATTTACAGTATAATGTGATAAGTGAGAAACGATATGTACAATCATGTGGAAGGTCGAAGTAGTGTTTTCGCGGTGACTGAATCTGGGAATAACTGGTGATAGTTGATCAGGGGAACGTAAGCAGCCGTAACTAGTCGGCCAGAGAAGTAGCGGCCATGCAACATGTTCACGCACTGTGTGGCTACAGCAATACTTGGACATTTAACGTAGACGTTCCCCTGGGCGCTTGTCTCGTCCACAAATAAATGCAAACACCCGCCGACCTTACTGCACTCCTCGATAACGTCGTCCCGTATTTCGTTAAAGATGGTGCGCGTTGCAGTATGTGGATCAAACATGTTTGATAGCATGAAGCACTGAGTGCATACCGGTGGAGCAACTGCAGAAGAAGAACTTATACCGCTAGCTGACCCAAGAGCAGGATTGTTTTGAGCGATGTGGAGCTGTGCAAGGGCAGCCTTGGGAATTTCTAGTCCAGTACCTTCAGCTAATTTTGCCATTAGAGCTAGGCGACCAGTAGTCCCGAGATCCACACCTGCACGATCAGCATCATCATTGTCGAGGGCACTGAGGGCCGCATACTCGCCGCGCTCTGTTACGTGGTTAACCTAGGAAAGTAACGATTATCCGTAAGTCGACCTTACCTTCATGGGACGACCAGCAAGCTCGAACCCGTTCAGCTGATCAAGGGCCTTTTTGGCATCGTCACTGTTTGCATAAGTTACGAAGCCGTATCCCTGCGAACGTCCAGTAGCCGGATCCTTGATCAGCTTGATGTCATCAATCTTTCCAAACGGCTCGAAAATGCCTTTTAACATCTCCTCAGTAATGTTGTAATGAAGCGATCCTATGTAGAGTTTCATTGGCCCCCTGTTTTGTTGTGTAGGTTTCGGAACCGAGGGAATTGAATTCATTCGGTTTTTTTCCGCGTGACTCTGTTGGATCTGGATTGGAACGCCAAGAAGACGTGTCCCCGTAAGACCTAGTGCAAGTTGGGCCGATTCGACTTCGCGAAATTCGACGTAAGCGATTCCCTTGGAGCGTTTTGTTTTGTTATCCATTATGAGCCGAACGTCACGGATTTTCCCAACAGATGTGAAAAAATCCTCCAAATCGCGTTGTCGGATACGAGCTGAAAGCTGCCACACAAACACCGTCCGAGCATCGCGCTCTTCAGGAGTCAACTCTGGCCTACAAGAATAAAGTTCGACTGGTAATATGGATAGAGATAACTTACGATTTCTGGCGTCGTTCACTGCTCCGGTGCGATTTCTCACTATCACGCGGTTCCTCATATCGCGATGACTTGTGACGTTCGCGATCATGCCCAGATCGATGCTTGTGGTCACCACGATGACGGTCATGGTCATAGTCTTTGTCGCGGCGGCGATCATGACTGCGACTTCTGGAGCGATGCCTAACAATCAAAGTCATTAGAGGGTCCAATATTCGTACCTCCTGGAGCGATCTCGTGACCTGGACCGGTCGCGCCGACGATGACCGTTGGACTTCGAGTGTCCCTATCGATTGACAACATTAGGAGTTTCAGGGGTGTAGAGGAGGGGCGAGGGAAGACAAGCGAAGGAAAATAATCACGCGGGTGAAACATACCGAAACAATCAATCGATAACTACATCTGAAGGTGGAAGGGGCCCGACGTCCAGAGCGACGTCAACGTACGTTGACGACCTACGTAGGTCGTAAACCCCGGGTATCCTAACAAAACATAAAGAAGTTCCGTCAACGAAAGCCCCTCAAATGCTTTAACCCCTAAGAAAACGCTAACTTACGTCACGCATGTACGGGGCCTCTAGCATAGCCTCTACGTCTAGGTCCTCAGCCATTATCTAGAAGGGGAAGCGATGAACAGGCGAGAAAAGCGGTCGAAAACGGGAGAGCAGTTGGTCGGAAGTAAACAAGATGGCGAGCGCCCAACGGGAGTCCTGGGAAATTCACTGTTTAAAACAAAAGAGCGCGCACGTGCCAGTACTGCTTTTTTGTTTAATTGGTTGTTGCGTGACTAGGGAACCGATAGCCCACAGAACCGGTAAGTATTTGTTCTTCTGTACAATAATCCGTGCACAATGGATGAGAGAAAAAACAAATGTGGAGGTGCGACCAGACATTTTCTTAAGATAGTGCAATGTGCAGCGCTGTAATTGGATTGTTCTCACGAAGGGGCCTCAGGCCCAGAAATATAAAGTCAACGTTAGACATGTAAATTGGGTAGGAAATTCGTCTTTTCGTTTCCGTTTCTTTTTTGGGTTTGAAAATTTTTCAGGGCGTCTTTTGTTGTCTGGGGCTCTTCTAACTTCAGTTTGCTCGGTAACGTGAGATACATCGGTGATTCAGACTATACCTGGCGATAAAACGGAATTCGTGAAAGAATTATTTTCTGGAACCGCATCCATATTAGGTTCAAATAGAGCACACAACTCAAAGAAACTCAAGCAGCGCATATCTGATCAGTTTTTCGGTGGGAAACCAAGTCCTCATGCATTCGCTCAATTGGGCTATTGATCCTGGTACATATTCGGAAAGAAAAGGAAAGTGGCTTCACCACTTGCGCTGCTAATCCTGAACAAGGCTTATCATGCCCTAATTAGGGATAGTCAGACACCGCAGCAATTTGTGGCGCAGGGTAACAATAGCTTTGTGAGAGTGAAAATGTAGACGGGATACAGTACAGAATGTGTTATGCAATCACTTCACACGGGAAACCCTTAACGGGATACAGTACCTGAATGTGCTATGCAATCACTTCACACGGGAAACCCTTAACTGTGCATTTACACTTCATATATGAATGGATTACGAAATAAGGAAGAAAAGTGACAGAAGTATGGTGAGTAGTGGGCCTGTGGGTCATTGAGTTAGCAGAATAGGTTGGGAGAATAAGGAGAACGCCATGTTCGCCCTGTATGCAAGTTTATTCTAGCGTGAACAGTGTACGCTTGTTGCGAAAATCTGGGACGGGCTTCGAAGGCCGATAAAAAAGTGACGACGTCTACCAAACGGAAAAAATAGCTGTAAATATATATTGGACAGACTAGAAGCTCGCGAGTCCACAGAGAAAATATCCAAGCGCAGTAAATATTTGGTGTAGAGGGTCTTCCGGAGCTTGGCGAAATAATCTGTAGACTTACGCTGTATATTGTTGAACATATTAACGTGAATTTCCAACCAGGGGAACAATGCGGTCCCACAATAAAGTACAAAAGGGAGAAAAAGTCCTGATCAAGGCCGCAGAGTTCCACGGAGTAGAAAGATTTAGCCATGTTTTGGAATGATGGATTGTCGTCATAGGGTGAACGCTTAGATGCAGTACAAATCCCAGTCTTTATTGGTAGCAACCATGGCAAAAAGCGGCGTCGTTTCCTGTTCGTAAACGAGATTAAATAGCGGATTCTCCAGACGGGTGTGCAGAGGGTTGTTTTGGGCCGTTTGGTGGTGTTTTAAGCCCAGGAGGCGTGGACATCGACAGCCCAGCTAGAGTATAAATATCTCCGCACCATAGTTCTGCACCGTCTTTACCTAAAGTGGCACAATACAGTCAGGGCGAAAGAGCACAGCGTGAATCACTAAAAATAGGAATACTGTTGTCCTCAGCGCCGTTTATTCTACAACTTCGTCGAAGATATGAAAGCGAGACGATCTTCAGTCCCCGACGCCGCCATGCCAGAAAGCCCCCTAGATTGTAAACCAATATCGCCATTCATCAAAAAGTGGAATCTTATGAAGGACTTTGTCTTGGGCGGGCGGGAAGTCGCAGGACATACGACCAGTTAGGGTGTCGCTCCCGTCAGCTGGGGCGGTGTGAGAGGGGGGTTTCTTATCACCAATCAGGGAGGAAACAGGAGAGCAGGTGCTGCGATGGGCGTAGAAGTTTTTGTTGGTAGGTAGTAAAGCGCTCAGTTGTGCATAGACATTCACATTGTTCTGCTCGGAAATTTCGTGAGAATAAAGGAACCTTAGTTATCTGGGTCGTGGTGACTACCAAATCAGTAGAAACAGCTCCAGCCGGGCCTACATATTGTCTGGGGACGCCCCATCGACGGAGGCAGATAACTGAAGATGGCGCATTCAAACATTCCTTGAGGGCTTATGGTTGAGTGCTGTCAGGGTCAAGAGTTCAATGGATGGAGACCAAGCACTTTCATGCCCTCGGGCGCATCATGCAGTAACGGGAGGTGTTTGCAATTTCCAAGGTTAATGGAAAGGGCCTGGTTTTTCATGATGAACAGACAGATCAGAAAGATTCTCTGGAAAATTTGTGCGCAAGTACGGAGGCAGATAACTGAAGATGGCGCATTCAAACATTCCTTGAGGGCTTATGGTTGAGTGCTGTCAGGGTCAAGAGTTCAATGGATGGAGACCAAGCACTTTCATGCCCTCGGGCGCATCATGCAGTAACGGGAGGTGTTTGCAATTTCCAAGGTTAATGGAAAGGGCCTGGTTTTTCATGATGAACAGACAGATCAGAAAGATTCTCTGGAAAATTTCGTGCGCAAAGTAGTGTTCATGCTTTCTTTTGTCTTATGCAACACCTTATTGTTATGGTACTTCATAGAGGGGGCGGGCTCTTGTAGGCCCCAAATTGCCTGGCACAGCTTGGCGTGCATATGCTTAACCTAAAAAATGTGTTGGTCTGTGGACACACCCGGTGAAATTCTGTTACCTGTCAGAGCCAAGGTGTACGCTAAGATAAGACGTTTTCATGTCTCGAGACTACAGAAGTTCGTTTCTTCATCCAATTTTCGGGACATGATTCAGGGCAGACCACTTGATCCAATCCAGCTGCGTACGCCGATGTACTCACGATGCTCTTGTGCAAAGTCTATTGTAGAAGTCACAGATGAGTAACACCAGTAGCACAGGATACCCAGTGATAGGATGTCGCTGCTGTTCCTAACCGCAGGTGAGGTTCCACGTTCATTGTGGGGAGGAGGTCACGTTTTTATAAACTTTGTTCCATCAAGAATCCCGCAGGACGAAGAGTGCATCGGTATCATAGTGCCAGGTCGAGTATCTATACAGATAAATCTTGGAGTTCGGAGGCGGTCAAAATAAGCGGCCTGGTGAGTGACCCAGCAGATTGGTAGGTATTTAAAATCTAATATTGGGAAGGGTGCCCAAAAGCCGCACAATGCTTTTGGCTGCAAAATGTTTGGGAGTGGAGTGAAACTCTGCGCCAAAATGTTGCATTTTAATGTGTATGTGCTCAAACCGAAAACGATTCTATTCTACGTTCACACTTTTGCAGCTCATCGTCCACTGAAGCAATCATATCTCCGGCGGAAATCTCTGGTGAAATTATTTCCCAGCGTCTGTAAGACTCTAAGATGCCCAAATAGGGCTCAAAAGTTTGGACTGGTGCTATGAACTCACTTACCTGATTGCGTCAGTCAATCAGGGACACGTCATAACTCTCAAAAATTCTATTTCATAGTGCGAACAGTGAGCGCCAATGGGAGGTGGTAAGTGTTTACGCCGGTAACCTGGTTGACAGTTTTGGATGTGAAAATATCGCTATCGTCTTGGTAGCGACGAGGTGGACAAGCAGTTACTCATGTAGCATAAAGTGTAGGATGTTGACAGAGATCAGGCTGGCGGGCCAGTTCGCTTATGGATGATAGCAGGGCACTAGCAGAAAGGACGCATACGTCGCCCGTCTGGTCGCACGTTGTCAGCACATTACGTCCTATGTCTCGTCAGGTCTGCAATGCTGCACTTGATTTCTTGTGTGAGCCGAGGTTCGGTCAGGCAGACAGAGCATGGCGGAACACGGGACACAAAATTGGACGGTGTAGAACGATTGCAGTTAGCAAAAATAAAGTTTATTCTAAACCTGTTGGTGTCGCATCGTCAGTTACCACCACGACAATATGGTCGAAATGAACGGAAAACAGACGCCAGTTTGGGCCGCACGGCAATTCATCCAGGCGGGACTGTGATAGAAAAGTGGGCACTGCCCGACACAGATAAGGGCTTGAAAAAACTGGCAGGCAAGTGACACTTAAGTAATATGGCAGAAATTCGGAACCAAAGAAAGCTGAACATTTGAACGATGAAGCATTTAGATGTTAGCACTAACCCTCACGAATATTGATTACACTGGCAACTGTTGCAAGAGTGGTATAACCTTCAGCTGTTTAACAATGCCTCAGTTCGTGTACGTTGAAATGTAAATAATGATCCACACTTGGTAAACAGGGAAAAAAGTCTTTCCACCACAGTGATGTTGTAATGCCTGAAACGGGTGGACTCACTGGATCCGAATGCGGCCGGTCGGTTATTGTGCTTATAGGGGCTGGAAGTGTCGGCGTCAACCAGAACCAGACGATTTTCACTGAGGGGGGTGAGTGAACTTAGGGCAGATCAATCAGACGATAGAGTTGGATTTTGCATTAATTTGGGATGAGTTGTGGGTGCTTGCAACACGATCAGCAAAGGATGGGTGAACGAGCGGGCTGTCACACTGAGTATTGCAGCCGCGGTAACGTCATTGTGACTTCACACGTGGGTCCTTGGACAGCCACATGTATAAACATCCGGGGTGAATCAGTTAAGGCTGTTGAGGTAGTTAAGATAGGCCAACGAATTGTGACGGAAAGAGACCACCATAAAGCTGTAATATACTTGGGTCCATCGATAGCAGAGCGTGGTTTGTTTCTGGCATCTAAATGAGACAGTAAGGTTGCCACAATTAGCTCAAGGACTCGTAATACGAAAAAACGTGCAAAAGGGTCAGGAGAAATTGCCACGGCTAACAAACAAACACTGTCCTGGGCGGTAATCATCATTCAGATGGGTATGATGTGGAACGGCAATAAATGATCGAAGTGAACGTGTGTGACCAGTTGAGAATGTGAATCAGCTGAACGGCGCCCCATTAAAAGTCACAGTTCTAAATGTGTGCGGGACGAACAGCGTCATGAGCGGACAGACAACGAAGCCATGTGTGAACTGGTTATTAGGCAGCAAGTAGTTAAGGAGTTTGGCCTATCATGCTGCGGAGCATATTGGTCAATAAAATAGGTTTGAAATTCCAACACAGTCGGTTAGCGAAATGGTTCAACATAGCTCAATGAAAAATGAAAGAAGGGGCTGGATTGACCGGTAATTTACCAGTTGGAGGCAACGGTGAACAACAGCATACGCGGTGGGAAAATCAATGGGTATCTGATAGTAAATGCTACGCAGAAATATGCAAATGATTCTAAGATTTGAATGAAGCATGTGGAGAAATAATACTGAAGAAAGTGAGAGAAGCGTGAAGTTGCATATTTGGAGGATAAGGCTTTTCAGCGATGCACCACCACAGCCTAGAGAAGGTGGCACAGGCTTTGCAGGGCGAACTACGTGACAGGCCTTATATCAGGTGGCTTTAATAATTACCTGATGACTTGCATCCGACGGTGTTTCTACCTTGCGATTGTTAGATCCTTATATCCACAAGAAGGTTTCCCGGGATGCACACCCTGACCAGGACTAGTTATACAACCGGCACAAGCGCTCGATCACAGATATTTTCCTCTTGATCTTTTCTATGTAAAGACCGAAAAAGTCACCCATACTTCTGGAAGGGCAGGGTACATACCTGTGTGCTCAGGTGGAACAGTGGCCGGCATACCTGGCCCATTCGGGAATTTCTTGGTTTCATTACATCCATGCATTCTCTCAAATCTTCAAAGTGGGGATCACCCAGCACTTATATTGTTGGCTTAAGCACTAAAGAACACCAACTACCGGTGTGGTGAGAAGTCAGGACAATAATGCACCAAGATCAACCAAGGCAAGTATTCAACTGCCTAAACATGGGAATCCTGATAATTTTTCTTCAAACCCTGTCCCCGATTCCAGCTAACCGACCTCGATTGTAATTCGAACCTCTTCTCCAAAGTCTCATGTCAACTTCCGGTCATCTGGGTCACCACCCCAAATCAGACCTACTCTGCAATTTTTCGTTTTCCGGCAATTCTCTTCTCTTCTCTATTTATGTTGTTTTTCGAACTCGTTTGAAGGATTACAGGCACATGTGGACTGTGAAATAGAGCGATCCAAACAAAGGATCACGTAACGTCAACCCAGCAACGTTCTTCAGGGCTCTGAAAACGGGAGGGCTGATGACTTCATCAGGCGCTTCCTATCAAAACACAGAGTCCGACAGACAATGCTTTGCCCCTTGTCATATGGATCTATCTTCTTTCTGCGCAGGATGTGTCGGCTCAACAAACTCACGCAAATCAACCACGACCACCTCCGTATCTTTACTGAATATCCAAAATCTTCATGTTACAGGACAGTTCTGCCCCCTTCTACCAACGGTCAAGCTCACCTCAACTCCGATTCCTGGTACAGATAACGAGCCTTTTATGTCACCCTGCGCTTCAAGCTTGCTCTTATCAGTAGATACTCGCTTACTTGTTAGTAAAACAAGACTGCTGGAGTATGTCTATACTAGCTGTCTCTCTCCAAAATTAACCGCAATGAGGCATGAAACCTCGGTTTTCTCCTGATAGTGGATTTATTTTTCAATTTTCGAGCTGCATATCAAGTAAGTCACCGCAGCTCAAAATCAGAACAGAGGGGAAAGCAGAGCCAGTGGGACACATCAATTTCATGATATGAAATTGCAAAATGCCGGAAACAAAACCCTAAAACAACAAAACCTAATCAGGTAAGCAGCTTTGGTGATAACTTGTCAAAGGAATCTGACTTGGCCAAGAAAGTCATTTTTATCACTAGATAACGTGAAAGAGTTAAGCCAGTAGCCAGGCTAATAAAAAGCTCGGGCGGGGACGGTGAAGTGGGAATATTTGCGGAGGTAAGGGATAGCATCTCACAACCCAGGATCTTGGCGTTCAAGGAAATGAGGTGAACTTACTCTTTGATTTTCTGGAAATGACACAAAGAAGGATAAACATTTTGCTATTGTGGGTGAAAACGTTGGTATAATAAACACGACTGGATTTGCGGACTGGGAGCACAGCGTGTTACCGATGGAAAGAGCTCGACTGACTGGGGCGAAGTGTCAACCCCAGTGTTAATCGGCGGTCTGTTCGTTTTCTCAGGTAGGCCCTGAGAGATTTAGAGGGCTACGTTCAAAGCACGAAGAGGATGCTTGTTGTTTGACGTGAAATTGGGTGCGACAGACTGGGCGTGCAGTTCCATACTCAATTTCTGAATAATCATATATACAAAGTTGCCTTTAGGATGGTTAGAAAAACCATTGAACAGATCGACATGGAAAGAGGCAGCCTGGCGCATAGTTGAAGGCATTTCTGGTCTGTGCAGATGTATAGCAGGGATTGAGTGGGTTATAGAGTCACCAAACGCGACATCTACAGCGACCACAACTGATGACAGAAACATGTATAATCTGAGACATTCTGAGGAGCCTAATTAAATGGCACGTGAAATCACAAGCCGTGAACAGCAAATTCTTGTGTTTTATTGACAACATACGGCACTACACTCAAAATGTACACACGAAAGGGACACAAACTTCAACTTACGGATATGCATATCGAATTGTTGCACGAATTGTTGCAGGTCCGAAAGGAGCGCGGAAAGAACGACAAATAAATCTAAGATAGTAACAAACGTGCGCGCACTATACGTGATGACGCAGGTGGTCAGAGGGCGGGGACGAAAATTTTGTCAGAATTTCATATGTTAAGGGTCAGTCTTTTGTGCGAGCTTGTTGGCGTGATTATCAGATAACTGTGGTAGAAACCAACACAGCGGACGCAAGCAGGAGATCAGTTTCATCGAGATGAAGGAAGTACGCCGTCTCACCAATGCTATCACGGACACGCTGGGCCTTACCATAGTGTGATTGTTCGCGCCCCTCAGCGATCCATGGAGCTTCACTAAGGGGTGTCCCCGTGACACTCAAAGAGTCTCTCATACCGGGCTATTTAATGGTTTGAGGTTTGACAAACAGTACCCCAGCCCACGTACAACCATGACACTTACAAATAACAATACTCCGATGCCTCACCGGCGGTCGTGCGGTGCCATCACACGGGTCGCCTTACATGCTGCATACAGCAGTGCGGGTAAGCGAAAACAGGCTACCGCTGACGTCTTCCTTCTTGCCCTTAATAATAATATTTATTCACAACTAGTTGGTAGCATGCCGCCAGGCATGATGATAGTATTGAAGTCAGAATAAGAGCACGACTGATGGGAGTTGTGATTAATGGGAATTTCCTGGAAAAGTGACGGTGACGTGAAGAGTGGGCAATAACGAAGTGAACTTAATGACACCTGAGGTGGAATGGGTAGGGATCCAAAATTACAAGGGCTCTTTAACTTTTATGGAGAACATATAGGATGACACAAGCTCTGATCGTTAGGATGTAAAAGTGGTGGGCAAAAACAACACGAGTGAGGGCATAGCGAAAAACTTCCTGCGTGGAACGTGACAAAAAGCTTCAAACTGCGGGGAATGTGGAGCCAGTGTATTGGATCTGGGGAGGCAGCAGAACTGCCACAACATTGACGGCCAAATCGAACTAAAGCCCAAACCCGTCACCGGGGCTTCTTTTCTCTTTCACCTCTCCTAACCCCCAAAATAACTCACTCCTTGAAGGCCCAGCACTTACTACCGATGATTGCGTTTGTCATGTACCGGTTTTGAGCGCAATATGGAGTCACATGGTACCGGCATTCTCAGATATCTCCAAACCAATCTTCAAGGCCCGACCCAGTCTATCTGGCCACGTTCAATGGCCGAACTTTGAAGCAAGCAGGAAGACAGGCTGTTCGTGAACTCACGCTGGACTCGCTTGGCATTAGGTTGTGCTGCGTCTCAGAAACGATAATTCAAGATACGAGCACAGCGACTGAGCTAATCGCTCCGTCAGTCTATACTCGCTTCCCGCCGCGCATCTCCGGCCATCCAGAGGCTGCTGCAGAGGGATGTTCAGGGGTCGTTATCATGCTAAGTCACCGGGAGGGAGTATCCTTACTTGATTGGATGCGTGTTGATGGTCCCATCTCTGC